TAACATCGATAAATATAAGACATTGAGGATGAGGATTATGTATTAATAATGTAAATACTTTTACATAGTTAACGAATTAAAAAATAATATTATTGATATGAATTTTTAATTATTTATTATAAAAATCAATAAATTTATTATATATATATATATATATAGTGAATTATATAGATAATAGTATAAGAGTATTTATATTGCATATAAGTTGCATAACCTATTTTCTCTAAGACTATTTATATTGCACATAAGTGTATAATTTCAAATTCATTGCATAAAGTTGTATGAACTATTTAATAGTTAATCCATTGAGGTTCATAAAACTTAGAAAGGAAAACCTTCACTCTCTTCACTTTCTTAATTAAACATTTTTAATATTTTATCTTCTTTTTTTTTTCTCCTAAAGGTACATTTCACATAATAATTATGTAAATAACTCACTTTCTCCTAGGTTCTGTTTAGATGGGTATTTTTTTTTAACTTCAAAAAATTTGAAATGCTCGAAATTTGAATTGTTTTGATTTAAATTTCTTCATTTTTAAATGTTCTATTAAATAGATTAATTAAAAATTATTAAATTTTAAATAGTTAATTTTGGACAAGACAATTTAATATCCATGCAAAATTTAATTTTTTAGATATATGTATAAAAATTTAATTTTTTAATATTATAACATTTTGTTTAAGTAATTTTTTTAATTAAATACTATCAAATTTTGATTCATTTTTACAAAAATCCTAACAGATCTTGACTAAATATTATCACGAGACTTTTTATGATTAAAAAGTCTTTTAAAAATATTAAAATTCCTAATCCATATAACATGCACTCCTAAAGAGATACCAGTGTGAGGAGAAATAAATAAATAAAGTCATTCAAAATCTTTAGAGTTGATTTGGTTGGGATTAGATATAACGATTTGATAGGTCACCACCTTAATATAACATAGTTACTACGTGACGAAATTATAAACTATACATCTATACTAAGGTTATCATGCAGTAGTTACATGGACATTCATACAACAAACATAAGTATAGGGTGCAAAATTTAAAGCAAAATTAGCCTCTTAAGGGTTACATAAATACCTTGTACATATAACTCTTATATATGAACTACATCACTGTACATAAAATAACTCTGATCATCGATCAAGCGTCTATACAAAATATTTGTACAATTAGGGTAGCAACATTAAAACAAGGTCACCACCAGCGTGGCCTTCCGCCAGCTAACCAAACCCTCTTATTAAGCGTACTTTATTTTGATACTAAATATAATCATAGCAATTTCAACCACAAGAAAAACACAGATTAAGTTTGTGAAATAATTAACATATACATGTTGAGATTTCCGTTGAAGTACTTTTGTTATAATTGAAATTTAGTTTAATTCTATCAACGGTCTCAAACACGGCAAATATACCGGCCGTTCAAGTAGTAAAAATATCGTATCCACAGGGATTAGAAGGTAAAATAAGCATTTATTGACTATTCGTGACTAAAAAATAATTCCAATTTCATAATTTGTCATGTGAATTCAAAGTTAAGACTATTGGAATGAAAGCTGTAAATAAATATTGGTTTGTGAGTGGAAAGGGTAGAAATGATTTTATGGTTTTGTGAGATTGTGGGGTCAGATTTCACCAAACGTCAAACTAATGAATCCTTAATCTCTTGTTAAATTCATTGCTTAGTCAACCCAATAGTTTACTCAAACCTAATCCCTTAGAGCAAGAGCCTAGATGTGGATATTGAATATCAATCCCTTGAGTACCCAATATCTACATCCGCATTACGGGCTAGGGTTTAAGACTACTAATGGGCTAAGCTCCATTCCTAGATACATTTCCCACTAGGCATTTGTTTCAGAGCTAGTTTCAAGGGTTATTTTCCAATACCCAATGGAACCTATATCATGCAATGAGATTAAATCCAAAGCAAGCATTAAGAATAGAAACATAAACAACAATGAATGAAACAACATGTATATATATCATAAAAACCGTAAGGATTACAATAGAATTCGTTGGTTACATCTAACCCCACAAAAATGGGTGAAACCACTCAACAAAGAGGGTAAATACAAAATAGAGATGAAGGGAGAAATGAAGAACCGAAGGAAAGACCCACACACGAACGGCTCCAAGCTCCGGGAATCCCTTCCACAGCTCCCAAAACGCGCCCAATGTGTGAATGAGGGAGAAACCCTCGAAAATGGCTTCAAATACGAGCCTGGGAGGTCAGATTAGGGTTCTGCGCCCGGCGCATAAGTTGTCGCGCCCGGCGCATAGTCTTCTGAGCACTTTCTGCCTCGTTATAAGCCCGGCGCAATTACTTTTTACGCCCGGCGCAGTGTCTTCCAGAGACTTTCAAGCATTCTCTGCCTTAGAGCGAGCCCGGCGCAATTCTCTATTAAGCCCGGCGCAATTCGTTCCAGAGAGTATTGAGGTACTCTCTGCCTCGATCACGCCCGGCGTGGTGGAGTCTCGCGCCCGGCGCATGTACAACTTCCAAAAGTCCACTGCTCTGTTCTTCTCAAGCCCGGCGCAGCGTCATCTTACGCCCGGCGCAGACACTCTGCTCTGCTCCTTGGCTCCTTATGTTTCCAATCCAAAAGATCTTCAATCCTCAAATCTCTAGCTCAATACCTGTACAAAAAATGAGGTGGATTAAGGTATTGTTAGATGAATTTGGGTTAGTTATATCTGCATACAAAATGAACCAAAAAGAGAACAATTATATTGCAATGGTTCAAAGGATGAGTGGAATTTGTTCAATAAGTCTCATCAAAAAGAGGTAAAATTGAGACTTAACAATACACAACATAAAATTACATCATTACAGCTTATATAACATAATCAATGCTCATTCAACACTTAACAACTTTCAAATAGATAACAACACCATCATATAAACAACATAATAACATTCAATATTAATAATAATATCATCATAAACATCTTTAAACAACTAATATATTGTCTCACATATCAACTATAGAAATCTCCTGTAGCAAAAATGAGCAGTTTAAATGACTAGAGCCTAGCAAACTACAACGTTTGACCTATCATAACCAAGTCAAGTAACATTAGACCTCATCATAGTGCCATGTGTACAACTTAAAACTCATTTGTCAGATTTCGCTACTTAAACTACGAAAGTCTACTACCAATGTCAAGGTAGAATAATTTGGGTGCAAGCCTACCACGATCTTAACATGTATATCCAAGTCTCATATAGAATTAGTCTGTCGACTACCTTCCAAATACTATGCACCTTTCCAACAATCAATTAAGGATTTTATCCATCAACTTCATACTTTACTTAGTTAGTCACTTTATATATGTACGTATCACTCAACCTGGTTCCATACATATTCTATATAAAATCTATAGGAGACAACTTAAAACATTTAACCATTCAAAAACCAACTTACTAAAGATTCTCCATTGGGCTCTTAGAGCATTATAACTTATATCCACACAAATGTGATATTTAATAGATACAACATCAAAACTATTAAATTTTCTTAACAATTTTTCAATATAGTGAGCTTGACTTAAAGAGAAATCATTTTCAATTTTTTTTTGTATTTTAATATCCAAAATCACATTAGCTTCTCCTAAGTCTTTCATTTCAAATTTTGAACTTAAAAATTCTTTAATTTCAATAATCACTTCTAATGAAGTTCCAAAAATCAATATATCATCAACATAAAAACATATAGTAACACAATTAGAGGATCTATCTTTTTTATTTACACACAAGAGTTTGAAGTATTTACTGCAAACCCATAATTTACCAATACATTATTAAAATTTTCATACCATTGTTTAGGTGTCTTCTTTTCAACCATACAAAGATTTTTTAAGCTTGCATACCTTGTGCTCTTGTCCTGGTACAATAAGCCTTCTAGTTGCTTCACGTATATTTCTTCTTTTAAATCTCCATTTAGAAAAGTAGTCTTTAAATCCATTTGATTAATAACCAATTTATAAATTTTTCTAAAGCTATTAAAGCAAGCATAGTGACAATTTTTGTTACTAGTGAATAAGTATCAAAAAAGTCGATAACTTTTTTCTAAGTAAGGCCTTTGATAACCAATGTTGCCTTAAATTTTTCTATTGATCCATTAGACCTAGTCTTTGTTACTGTTATTTGGCTTGTTCTTGTGAAAATGACATTGATATGCTTTGTGTCCATTTTTCCCACACACAAAACAAGTCATCTTATTTTTTTGGACCTTACCATAGTATTTGTTGAACTGCTTCTTGTCTTTGTTTTGTGTACTTATCATTGTTCCTGTATTTCTTTGAAATTTTTCTCTAACTGAAGTACCAATATATTCAACAAGATTAACATTAGAAAAATTAATAGGAGAAGAAAGAGATTTATCCTTGATAGGATTTTCTTTTTCTATTCTCATGTAGTTAATGAGTTCTTGTAAGGTGAAGTTTTTATTCTTGTGTTTTAGATAGTTTCTGAACTCATTCCAAGAAGGGGGAAGCTTTTCGAGCAGGACGTTTATTTATAGTATCTCACACATTTTCGTACATTTATTCATAACACCAGCAACCAAGTTCTCATATTTGTGTACTAGCTCCATTATTAATTTATCATCGACCATTCAAAATTGTAGCCATGTACTTACAATTACTAGCATCATCTACTCCATATTTTTTTTTCAATTGTCTTCCAAATAGATTTTGCAGACTTGTTTGACACAAAAGATTAAAAAGATTGTTAGGCATATGATTAAGATGATGATCACATACCAATTTGTTATGTTTTTTTATGGTTCTCAAATGTCTTGATTGTGACTTGCACATTCTGATTACTTCCTTCAAGAGTAATGGTAGGTGCATCTTTAAATAAAACGTAATCAACCTGGAGTTGCTCAAAGATGATGAACAATCTTTGTAACCATCACTTGTAGTTTCTATTCCATCAAGTGGTTCAAGTTTAACATATCAAGCAATGCTTTATTGAGCAACAAAGTCATTATAAAGAACTTGCTTTTAGATTTAAGGTATTATAAGAGAATAAAAGTTGTGTCGTGACAATTACCTTGAAAGCAAATTTTCAATGGGTTTCTGGTGCAACCCGATAATCAATTTTCTCTCGAAGGTTAACATAACGATGTGTTCAAATATGTGTACTCGAGATCAAACACGTTGGAGTCTCATAAATAATGTTCATAAAATTATAGAGAGAAAAAATGAAATGTAGAAAATAATTTTATTACTTCTAAGGTGTGATGTTTATACCCTTTTATAGAGTAAAACATTAAATTGTTGATATTCCATAAAATTAAAGATCATGAGGATTCAACAGAAAAAAGATTAAATATAAGTATACCAATAGAAATCATATTGACTAGCATCTTCCATTGATGACAACTAATGTCCATGTCACTCCTAGTGTCCAAGTGAAAGAAATCATGCAACCAACTTTCTCACATTAGATTTGGATCAAACCCGTCCATAAATTCTAACAATAAAAGTGAAAAATGTAAAATAAAATTAAGAATGACAAAAATATTTGTATTTCTAATTATCCGTAGATAAAATCTGCCACAAATAATAAATAAAATATCCTAAATAAATACTTGCAAAACACAAGTATGAGTATTATTTTAACCGTTTATAAATGAGAAGGGACAGGTACGGTAGTATAATATCCGTGAATAATTGTTACTATGTTTACTATTCTACTCAATTGTCATAATTATATCATGATCTAATGACACCAATTATGTTACTCGTTCATTCTTATCAGCATTAGCAGAATCATTGAGAAGTATCGTCAATGCTGCTTCGACATGTCTCAAACTGGCGACATAGCTGAACATCGATCGCAGCAGGTTTTCTCTTCTCTCTATCCAGTAATATTGTGTTCTGAATACGTTGAGAGGGGAAAAGTATTAGATATCGTGAAGCTAGCTAATTTCCAGTTACTCAAGATAGAGATTCATAATAAGTAACAATTGCGCATTGCATTGCTTATACCAGGAGCTTTTAATATTAAGAAGCAAATACGAATCACTCCAACGAACGCAAAGGTAAAGATTAATTCTAATGAGATGATACGAAGAAAGAAAGAGAAAAATCTTGTCAAGTCCAAGTTAGATGATACTTATCTATTTCGTTTCTCTTTGTGTTTGAAGGAATCTTACGGGAGAAGAACTTGAGCCACTTAGCATGAAAGAATTGCATAGTTTAGAGAAACAACTTGATAGAACGCTTGCACAAGCTCGGAAGCACCTAGTACTAATTTGCACTTATTTTGAGTATCTTATTAATGAACATACATAAACTCTAATTAACACGGATGCATGAAATAATTAAGACTAACTAGTGTTCTTGATAAACAACTAGACTACACTTAAGGATTTTTAATTAAGATTACATTCTCCTTCAACTCACTTTGATCAAATGGAGGGATATAAATAAGTTGCACACTACTTCCAACCTTTTTACACATTTTTGTAGCTTCAATGTTCGTATTTTTTTCCTTAAAATATTACAAAAGCATTACACCTATGTTATATGCAATATCCATGATCCTGCCTTATAAATGCAGACGCAGAAGTTGACGTCACGAATTGATGAATTACACGGAAAGGTATGTTATTATTAAATTAAACACAGTAATTGAAGGTTGCTAAAGTATTGATGAATTTAATTTGATCCATGTGAACCCTTTCAATATTGTATTGGCTTAGTTTCTCATCTTTCTTGACCAATTTCTTGCTCAACGCATTGTAATTTTAGAGAGCATAGAAAGCACATATATGAAAAATACATAACTTTTATTTGAAGCTAAAATAACACTTTTTATTTCAGAAAGTTAATCTCGCTTAATGTTTTCTCTTGTCACTTAATGTTATTTCATTGTCTCTATAAATCACTTTTCTAAAGGGATTCTTGTTTAGTGTGGCCAAGGTCTCACTTTAGCAAGACATACAACGTCTCACGCTTTCTTCTAGAAAGGGATTTTTCCTAAGCATGGCGAAAGACTAAAGACTAAAAGTTTAAACTTCATAGATTTCCCTTTCGCTTAGTGCATCTCATGTGTGTTTAGTGAAAGACTAACACCCTCTCTCTATCCACTCTCGCTTAATGCGACCTCATATTTAGCATAATTCCAACTATCTTTATATTCTCAATTTTGTTTAGTGAGATTATTTGTGTCTTTCTCTACTCCTCATGTATTAATTAGCATACACTTGGTGAGATTTCAATAAAAAGAAAAAATATTCTTATAAAATACTTTTTAAATGGATAAAAGATATCACATACAATCATAATTTGAATTCAAAACTTAGATAAAGTATAAAACGCAAATAAAAGCTTAACACTCCAATCCAAAAGCTATATAAAAGTTTAAATCTAAAAACTATATGAAAAATAAAGACATCTAAAAGTTTCAACATATGTTTAAAGTAAATTCTATGTTACGATGTCACTTCTTATTTAAGACCAACCTAAAATAACAACATTAATCTAAGTCATAAGTCTATCATTTTACATCTTTATGTAATCAGTCCTATATTGAACTCAAAAAACAAATAATATGATCACAAAGGAGTGAGATTTGTCTCACCGCATGTTTTCAATGTGAAATTGAAGGTCACGCAACACATGCATTCATAGCAAGAAAACATTTATTATTCAATACACATCTCAATATGTATCTCTAGATTCTAATAATGCATTTATGCAAGTAGCACCAGTTCCAAGTCTCATATCTTAAATAAAAGTAACTTTAGAGCACATGATAGTCATGAAACACCAAATAAAGGAAGCCAAAATGATATCTCCCAGTGGCTCATCAGAGTTACAAAGTTTAACTTTGACCTCATAGGATCAACATGGATCATCCATAGATCCCAAATCAAGTACACCCCTTGTGTTGTGTTGGGAACCAAAAACTCTCATTTCACATCTCTTAGAACACTTATGCTTAACACAAAGAACCTCTCACTTAATGTGGGGGGGTTATAGAGGAAGGATTTCTCTTTAGCACTTTATCGCTTAGCACTCTCACATCCTTGCCTTTTGCTTAATTAGTGCCAAGAGTATAGAGAACAAAGGTCACTTTCAAGAACTCTCACAGTTAGCGCGAACCATCTCGCGCTTAGCGCCAAAACCATTGTTTCTTATTGTCGTTTTCTTGCTTAGGAAAAGCTTGGTCTTGCTAAGCATCAAAATACACTATATGCTCTTTGTGACTCATGGTCTCGGTGAAAAGAGGTCTCACTTTGTGCCAACTTAATTAGGGATCACTAGCATTCTAAAACAACCATAGGAACTACATAATTGCATTGCATGCATGTCAAATTGAAAAGGAAAATTTCCCAACTTTTTTCCCAATTGTTAGTTGGCCAAATTAAACAAACAATTCTTTGTAAAAAGAAGGTATCGCAAAAAAGAAACTAATTCAAGCAAACTTTATAACCCAAATCTGATTAGAGAAGAAGCTGGCCATGGATAAAACCAAGTGATTTGTATCTTCTTGTTCAGAACTGCAAAACGGACACAATAACCCCAAACCATCCAGATTTATCCCACAGTAGAAGTACACACGTATATGTAAATTAATGACCAACTGTCAAGCCTAGAATTTTAGGTATATATTGTCCCAAAGATGCGCCACATTTTAAATTATAGGATGAAAGAAAAATAAACAAAGGCCACATTTTATCAAATTATGATTTACCCTAAAATTAATCTATAGTCATAAAGGATAAGAAAGTAGAAACGTTGATGAGAAGCAACATATTTGTTCTGTGTTTAACTGTGATTCATGTTTTTGTTGAGATTTCCGTTGAAACTACTTTTGTTATCATTGTAAATCATTTTAATTCTATCAACGGTCTCAAACACGCTAAGTATACTGGCTGTTCAAGTAGTAAATTATATCGTATCCACAAGGACTAGTAGGTGAAATAAGCATTTATTGATTATTTGCGACTAAAGAATAATTCAATTTTTCATAGTTTGTCATGCAAATTTGGATTAAAGGTTATGACTATTGGAATGTTAAACTATAAAAGTATTTGTTTTGTGTGTGGAAAAGGTAGAAATGATATTATGGTTTTGTGAGATTGTGGGGTCAAATATCACCGAATGTCACACTAATGAATCTTTAATCTCTTGTTACATCCATTGCTTAGTCAACCCATAAGTTTACTCAAACCTAATCCCTTAGAGCACGAGCCTAGGTGCGGATAGTGAATATCAATTCCTTGAGTATCCAATACCTACACTCGCATTACGAGTTAGGGTTTAAGACTACTAATGGGCCAAGCTCCATTCCTAAATACATTTCCCACTAGGCATTTGTTTCAGAGCTAGTTTCAAAGGTTATTTTCCAATATCCAATGGAACCTATATCATGCAAGGAGAATCAATCCAAAGCAAGCATTAAGAATAGAAACATACACAACAATGAATGGAACAACATGTATATATCATTAAAAACGTAAGGATTACAATAGAGTATCGTTGGTTACATCTAACCCCATAAAATAATGGGTAGAACCACTCAAAACAATGAGGGGAAAGCAAAAATAGAGATGGAAGAGAGAATAAAGAACCGAAGGAAAGACCCACACACGAACGGTCCCAAGCTCCAGGAATCCCTTCCTCAGCTCCTAGAATTCACCCAATGTGTGAATGAAGGAAAAGACCTCGAACAATTTCTCAAATACGAACTTGGGAAGTCAGATTAGGGTTACCACGCCCGACGCATTAATCTTTGCACCCGGCGCACGGCCTTCCAGAGAGTTTGGTTACTCTCTGTCTCGAGCACGCCCGACGCAATTTTCTTTTAAGTCGGGCGCAACATCTTCCAGAGAGTTTGAGTTGCTCTCTATCTCGAGCGCGCCTGGCGCGTCTTCTTGCGCCCGGGGCATTTTTGCATTGCAGAGAGAGTGGCTCTCTGTTCTTCTCAAGCCCGGCGCGGGTAGTCTTGCTCCCAACTCAAATGCAACCTTTTAACTTTTTTTTAAGCACGCATGCGCCGGGCACAGTTCTTCGTGCTCAACATGAGTTTGAACAAGGACATAAAAATGCCCACTTTTCTACCCAGAATCCCAAATGTAGGCATTAGCAACCAGAAGAACACCCTAAAAACAAAAAAAAACCAAGAAAAAGGGCACCAAAGGACAGAAAAAAAATAAAGAATCAGGGAACCTACTTGAGTGCGAAGTGCGTTGAAAAGAAAGAAAGGCAGGTGCGAATGCTTGGCCTTGAGATGGAGAACCATGGACCGAGATGGAGGGATGAGAGATTGGAGAAAAGAGAGCGTGAAGGGGTTGTCAGATGAGATTGGGAGGGTTTTGAGAGAAAATGGGAGTTGGAGAAGGGGGGAGAGTGAGCGTGAGACAGAGAAGGGTTGTAGAGAAAATGGGATGAAGGGAGTTGAGAGGTTGAGAGAGATTTTGGGAGATGAGGTTGAGAGAGTGAGAGGTTTTGGGAGATGAGGTTGAGAGAGTGAGAGGGTGAAGTGAGAGTGGGAGACATGGGAGAATGGTTAAGGGGCAGCCGAGGGGTCACGCCGGGCGCGAAATTCATGCGTCGGGCTTAATATCAGTGGAAACCCAAGGGTTACCCTTATTTGGTATCGTGTCGGGCGCTGTCGTGTCGCACCGGGCGTGTTTATGGTGAAACATAAGCATGCATTCAATGCGCCGGGCTTGACAGATACGCGCCCGGTGTATTTAAGGTAGAGGCCTTCCAGTGATTAATGTGTCGGGCGCATTCATGAGTGCCCTGGGCTTGCTACCCCCTGTAGCCTCCTGCTTTTAATGCGCCCGACGTGCCAATAAATGCGCCCGGCATGGTCGTTCCAGGGCTCTCTAATGAATGCTTGGCCGGGTGCAATAGAATTACGCCCGGCATGAAGCTTGGCAGAGAGCAAATGGCTCTAATTGCGCCGGGCGTGACTATGTCGCGCCCGGCGTGGTCTTGGCAGAGAGTGTCCACCACCTTTTGTGCTGGGCATCTGATAAATGCGCCTGGCGTGATCAGGGCTATGAAGGTTTTAACCTGAAATTTCCTTTCCTCACACTCCTAAACAAGATTTAACCTATATCTACCCACTCAAGCATGATTCACACAATTACATACAACACAAACAGTCATAATGCAAGTCACATAAACAATTATAACACACATTAACAATCAAAGCTAAGAACACACAACAACTGAAAAACACATGAATTAGAGTTCAGATCTCTGGGTTATCTCCCAGGAAGTGCTTGTTTACTGTCCCGAGCCTGACTAGAAGAGACCTCAAGGGTCTCTGAAAGAAAGGATACAGCAGAGTCTTTCAACTTCTCCTCCCAAGTAGGGTTTCAGTCGCTGTCCATTCACAACCCAGCTTCTTTGTGCCTCCGGATCTTCAATTTCTATGGCTTAAAGGGCCAGACCACTTAGATCTTAGTTTTCTAGGGAAAAGTTTGAGCCTGGAATTGAACAATAACACTGACTGGCCTGACCTGAACTCTCTCTTGAGAATCTTCTTGTCATGATAGCTCTTGACTTTTTCCTTGTAAAGCTTGGATGATTCATAGGCTTGTAGCCTCAATTCATCAAGAGCATGCAACTCTAACTTCCTCTTCTCACCAGTACTGAAAGGATCAAAATTCAACATCTTCAAAGTCCAATACGCTTTGTACTCCAGTTCTACAGGAAGATGGCAAGCTTTCCCATACACCAATTGAAATGGAGTGAGACCAATTGGAGACTTGAAGGCGGTTCTATAAGCCCATAGAGCTTCATCAAGCTTTGTAGACCAATCCTTCCTTGAAGATGACACAGTTTTCTCCAAAATCCTCTTGATCTCTCTGTTAGAAACCTCAGCTTGACCATTGGTTTGAGGGTGATAGGCGGTGGCAACCTTATGATGGACTCCATAGTGTTCTAGAGCCATCTCCAACTGAGCATTACAGAAGTGTGAACCTCCATCACTGATAAGTTCCCTGGGGGTGCCAAATCTACTGAAGATGTGCTTCTTGAGGAACTTCACCACTGTTTTGCCATCCGCCTTGGGTGTAGCAATAGCTTCAACCCATTTTGAGACATAATCCACTGCCACAAGGATGTACTCATTTGTGAAAGAAGAAGACAATGGTCCAACAAAGTCTATGCCCCAATAATCAAACACCTCAACTTCCTGCATATTCTGCAAGGGCATCTCATGCTTCCTCGTGATTCCCCCGGCCCTCTGACAACTATCACACTACTTGGCCTGACTGTGGGCATCTTTGAAGAGTGTCAGCCAGTAAAAACCAGATTGAAGCACCTTGGTAGTTGTCCTCTCTCCGTTGAAATGTCCTCCATAAGGGGAGTTGTGATAGTGCCACAAAATACTCTTGGCCTACTCTTTAGAAACACACTTCCTCAGCGAGCCGTCTGATCCAATCTTGAACAAGTGAGGGTTATCCCACACATAGTAGGTCGCATCACAGAGGAACTTCTTTTTTTGGTGCCATGTGAAATCTTCAGGTATGACTCCGGCTGCCTTGAAGTTTGCTAGGTCAACAAACCAAGGCCGCTCTTGCACCATAAGCAGTTTTTCATCAGGGAACTCCTCCAGGATCTCCCTCTCCTTCATGGTCACCTCATCATTTACAAGCTTTGAGAGGTGGTTAGCAACCAGATTTTCCTTGCCACTCTTGTCCTTGATCTCCAAATCAAATTCTTGAAGCAGAAGAATCCACCTAATGAGTCTTGGCTTGGAATTCGGCTTGGTGAGTAAATACTTAATGGCTGCATGATTTGTGAACACAACCACTTTGGAACCAATCAGATAGGACCAAAACTTTTCCAATGCAAACACTATGGCTAGCAACTCTTTTCAGTGGTGGCATAATTAATTTGTGCCTCATTTAAAACCTTGCTAGCATAGTGAATAGCATGACAAGTTTTAGCCCTCCTTTAGCCTAAGACAGCCCCAACCGCATAATCACTAGCATCACACATGAGTTCAAAATCAAGTTTCCAATTCGGTGCAATGATTATGGGTGCAGAGGTAAGTCTAGCCTTCAAAGCTTCAAAAGCTTTCAAACAAGAATCATTAAAACAGAAGGGAGTGTCTTTGTTTAGGAGATTACTTAGGGGTCTGGCTATCATTGAAAAGTCTTTAATAAATCTCCTGTAAAAGCTAGCATGCCCCAAGAAACTCCTAATACCTTTGACATTCATGCAAGGAGAATCAATCCAAAGCAAGCATTAAGAATAGAATCATACACAACAATGAATGGAACAACATGTATATATCATTAAAAACGTAAGGATTATAAAAGAGTATCGTTGGTTACATCTAACCCCACAAAATAATGGTAGAACCACTCAAAACAATGAAGGGAAAGCAAAAATAGAGATGGAAGAGAGAATGAAGAACCGAAGGAAAGACCCACACACGAACGGTCCCAAGCTCCGGGAATCCCTTCCTCAGCTCCTAGAATTCATCCAATGTGTGAATGAGGGGAAAGACCTCGAAGATTTTCTCAAATACGAGCTTGGAGAGTTAGATTAGGGTTACCACGCCCGGCGCATTAGTCTTTGCACCCGGCGCAGGGCCTTCCAGAGAGTTTGGTTACTCTCTATCTCGAGCACGCCCGACGCAATTTTCTTTTAAGCCAAGCGCAACATCTTCTAGAGAGTTGGAGTTTCTCTCTGTCTCGAGCGCGCTCGGCACGTTTTCTTGCGCCCGGTGCATTTCTGCATTGCAGAGAGAGTGACTCTCTGTTCTTCTCAAGCCCGGCGCGGGTAGTCTTGCGCCCGGCGTAGTCACTCTTCTCTTGCTCCTTAGCTCCTTTAATTTCCAATCTAGTGGATCTTCAACTTTCAACTCTTCCCTCAATACCTGCACAAAAAATGAGGTGTATCAAGGTATTGTTAGATGAAATTGGGTTAGCTATATCTGTACAAAAATTGGACCAAAAAGAGAACAATTATCTTGTAATGGTGCATAGGATGAGTGGAATTGTTTAATAAGTCTTGTCCTTTCCCACAAACCAGTAATTAGACTAATATGCAAGTAGGTTAATTTTATATTCAGTATATCAAATTTGATAGTGCTTGTGTTTAACCCCTTTTTTGTTGTTGAAATTGGTGTACACTGTTCCTTTATTAATTTCTATGTTGTGAGGCATCTTCTTTTGTGTTCTTTTTTAATGATATGAAAGGAAAATATCGGAATATGATAAAAAGAAAAGAAAATAAGAGAAAGAAGTTGTTGAACCGGTAGTTTCACACACCTATTTTCATAATAATATGATATTGTTCATTTTAAGTCTTAACTTATGAATTTAATTTTGACCATCACTCAAAAGATCTCTTATTAATAAAGACTTTGTATGTGCTTATAAATTCATAATATTCCTCTTGTTTTATTAATGTGAGACTATCCCAACAATCCATTTCTCAAATAAATCACCATGATTTAACCTTTCCATACAATGAAAATCATCTTTTTCAGTCTACGAGTATCCAATGATGGCCCATATATAAAGCTTAGTCATGCTCTAAATACTTGCATCACTGCTCCATTATCAGCTCACGATAGCGGGACATATCATACATGGATCCATTGAGAAAACTTTCAATGCAAGGAGTCCTATACTTAGATCTACCAACCATGAAAAACCTTTTGACATAAGGGATCTTATACTTAGATTCACTTTTCTATTCCATCATACTCACCTAGTCGATCACTTGTTCGATGTTCGAAATCATCAATTCTGATACCACTTGTTGTATATCAGATCCTACACACATTTGTCTCCACATTGATATGATCGATATTGTTTATTTTACGCCTAATCCCTCATTGATTTATTTTTAATCATCACTTAAAAGGTCTCTTACCAATGGAAGCTTTATGTATGCTTAGAAATCCATATTTCTCCTCTTATTTTATTGATGTGAGACTTTGATTGTATCATGACAAAAATGAATAATTCATCCTTCGTTTCATCGATGGAAAAAGAATCAAAAATGTTTTTTTTGTTTGGTTTAATTTGTGGGGAAAATGAATGGATGTGCATATAAATGAATGAAAGTATGTCATCATGAGTTGAAACAAATGATCCAAGATTTTGTCTGAATGTGCATTCTCCATGACATAACTTTGACACTCTTTATAGTCATTAAAATCTTACTTTAGTAGACATACTTAAGAAGATTCTTTAACGTAAGTGGTTCCTTTGATATGTTTCTTTTGATCCTCAACTCAACAAGTAAAGGCTTGGGTTAAATTAGACACTACTAAACTTCGACTAACTTATAAGTAAACAATGGTACTTACTTTAAGAATCTCCAACGTGTGATTAACTTCCTGTTTGATAGTTTTGGGGGTGTTATCCTCTTTCTACCAGTTTTATGTGTAAAAAAAATTGAATGAAAGTGTATATGCATGTATATGATTTTTTTTCTTCTTTCCTGCATTTTTTTTACGGAATGGCATGACTCTTTTATTAAATTTAAAATATTATCCTCCGTCACTTCTAATCAATTGATTACAAATGCATAGCAAGACAAATATAAGTGCAATTACTTTTATTTATTTATTTATTTATGTGATACACTTACTTCTAATTGCATAACTATTCAATAATTTTTATTATCTACATATTGACAGGTGCACAACCTAGAGCAGGTTAACAAGCAATTGGAATCTAAGGTATTTCCTCACATAATTAATCATGTCAATATAATACTATAAATTGGAATAGTTTATGATATGACTTTTTTTTTTAATATGCATTTTCAAACTCTCTGCTCCAGGAGAGAGGTAAATGCACCCAGATTTGTGAAAGTTCAGCAAATAACGATATTTGGCTGCACGATGCACATGTCAATCAATTTGAATATGGAACAACAAGGTGTGTGCTTCTTTTTACTTTAGTCTTATTGCTTTTTTAAATACATAAATTATGACCCATTCATCATATACGCTGTGTACATAAGCAAATTGTGCAAGAATGCATGCATTTTTTTATTTTTTATTTTTATATAGGTAAAGACTTAATTTAGAGATCCAAGGAATTAGGGCAAAAGAAGAGGAGATTAAAATTAAACTCAATTGATGAGAAATGTTCCATGGTAAAAATGACATGAGAACTATATTAGAAATTAAAATCACCAATCTTAAGTTAGCTTAAATTAAGAGAGAAATTAAGTTACCTAAGTTTTATAAGTAATACTTTAACTCTCTTTCTATTTATATATATATATATATATATATATATATATATATATATATATATATATATTAC